TTATTATTATTATTATTATTACTAAACAAACAAGCCAATCAACCCATCCAGGTTTTAGCGGATTTGCCTCAAAGAGCAGCGCCTCAGCTGGAATGACCCCAGAGCAACAGGCAGAGTTCAAGAAACAGACGCTGTTGGTCAACACGCTACAGCAGAAGGTCAAGGACCTGGAGGTCAGTCACATTCTTCCTTACTACTTTGCTGGCTTGTTTGGATGGATGCTTGCTTGCTTGTTTGCTTACTGACTTACTGACTTACTGACTTACTGACTTACTGACTCACTCGCCCACTCACTTACTCACTGACTGACTGACTGACTGATTCACTCACTCGCGAACTCACTCACTTACTTATTCACTTACTTGCTTGCTTGCTTGCTTACTTACAGAATTACTTACTTACTCACTCATTCATTCACTCACTCACTCACTCACTCACTCGCCCAGTAGATGTTTGACAGGTGCTCTGGTTTAGTTTTCTTCTTCTGTCCTATCAAACATCTATCGCCCTTATCTCCCCTCTTTCTTTTTTATGTTTGTTACTCTCTTGTAACACCTCTAATCTACTGGCGCTCATATGACCTCATGCAGTTGTGAGCGCCGTAAAACCTCTACTAAAACTAACTCATCCGTATCCAACCTTCCAGGCCAAACTGTCGGAAGCGAATAATGCCATAGGAGCCGGGGAAGAAAGAACGAACGAACTGGCGGAAAAGGTAATCATCATCTGGTTAGCAGTTACAACAGAGACGTTTGGTTGTTTGGGAAAATGATGTTGTTGTTGTTGTTGTTGTTGTTGTTGTTGTTGTTGTTGTTGTTGTTGTTGTTGTTGTTGTTGCAACTGTTGTTGTTGTTGTTGTTGCAACTGTTGTTGTTGCAACTGTTGTTGCTGTTGTTGTTGTTGTTGTTTTTGTTGTTGTTGCAACTGTTGTTGTTGCAACTGTTGTTGTTGCTGTAGTTGCAACTGTTGTTTTTGTTGGTAGTGGTGGTGGTAATGATGATGATGATGATGATGATGATGATGATGATGATGATGATGATGATGATGATGATGATGATGATGATGCCGTATTATTAAGGCGAAACGTTGAACCACGTTTTTTTCAATAACACTATAAAATTTTCCCGATGTATTCAAGTCTACAAGTCGTGTTTTTCATTCTGTTGCTCAACAATGATACGGATAATGATCTTAATGTGACTACAGCTGTTAAGGTTGTTATTTGTCGTTGTTGTTATTATGACGACATACTGTTCGTCGCCATTGATTTTGAAGATAAACGTTCACATTAACACACCAGAGGTCATTTAGACCAGACGGATGGTCCATGTCATGCTTATATAGAAAAAATGCGTTCTGTCAGATCATGTCAGTTGTGAACGGCCGATACGCAAAAAGAAAATGCATTTCATAATAATAATAATAACAATAATTAATAGCATTTGTATAGCGCATATCCCCGCTCAACAGCAGACTCTATGCGCTTTACTCTGTATTATTACCCCAGCAGACCATAGAACACTCTGAAACATTCTCAGCTTCCCGGGAAGCATACAGTGCAAGCAGCTGATTAAGCGCTCAAACACTAACAAACTGACAAGATTTTTCACTGTCTATAGCCGGCTACCCATTATTCCCACCTGGGTGAAGTGAGGAAAATTCGTGTAAAGTGCCTTTCCCAAGGACACAACGTCGAGCCCCTGACGAGATTCGAACCCACGACCTTACGGTTGCGAGTCCGAGAGCCTAACCACTAGGCCACCGACGCCACTCATGGGATCATCTCTGAAAAAAAAAATGTGTTTCATCAGGTCACATTGGATATAAATGAGTTTTAACAAATCTAAAATGCTAATTTATTCAAAAACTATTCACAGTTAGGCTTTCATATTGATATCTCAAGATGGCTTTCGATATTTAGAATTTGTTACTGGAATAAAAATGTTATCGCCAAAATGAAAAAAATGTGAGGCAGCGTGGTGGAATCAGGTTCTCGTCAATTTTTGGTTATTGGTATAATCTTAAAGCTTGTTCACTTGTCTTTATTGGATGAAGAAAATATACATTTATCTTAAATACAAGTCGAGATATTTGAGAATAAAGGAGGTGGGGATCATCTGTTCTCAGAGGTAAAATTAGTGAGAAAATGGCTGCCAAAGATTAGATATTTCCTTAGCCTAAGAGTCCGTGGTAACCGCACATTTACATCTTTTGTGCCTTTAATCAACGTTTTTTCAGAAAATGGCACATAGAAATGAGTTCTTTAATGGGCATGAAAGGTGTTGAGCCCAAAAACAAAAATCTGATAAAAATTCACAAACCTGCGGGAAAATACAAGTTTCTTCACTTTGATTATTTTGACGAGAGCCTGATTCCACCACGCTGCCTCACATATGCGTTTTATCAGATCACGGCAGACCAAGATGCACTCGGACAAGACTGCAGACTGGGAAGAATATTTCAAGAAGCCTGGGGGAAAAAAACCCGTTAGCAATTACATAACATGGATATTGTTGATGGGAAAAAAGGGAGCGGGGGG